GTCCAACACTACTGGGTGTCCGCAAACCGGACAGCATATCAAATACTGATAAAAATTTAGGCGAAATACCCGCGCAATAGTTATAGTAATAAATACTATAAATGATTAAACATAACACATATAATAGTATTGTTATAATTCTAATGATTTCAACATTTTTACCAAAATAATAGTCACTATCGCATAGAAATATATGCCATTCGCTAGAAATGTCTAGTTTTCTAGCAATCAATAGCCATATATTTCTTATAATAAAATATAATAATATCATTGGATTCAGGAGTGGATGTGAAGTCCAGTGTCGTCGTCGTCCCGGAGTTGGTATTAGCGATGGTTTCAAACACAAACCAATTGTATATAACTGACTGCACGCGCAAACAACACGTAGTTTTGGTGGCAATACTTGATTTAAATTTATAAATAATTTACTCATATTTTTTTAATTATTATTATATTTGTTGTTTATATAATAATAGTTTAAAATATTATAGACTAATATACAATATATAATAATTTAAACTATTTATTATAAAATTCTACTAAAGTATATTATTTTAATTTATTTTAAATAAACTATTTCAGTAATAAACTATTCAACAACAAAAAAATATTTAATTATGAAATTTAACATTTACTTATAATAATAATAATAAATTATTTTTCTACATAAACAATAATAATTTCATATTATTAATATTATTTTATGCTTATTTTTAATGTTTATTTTTAATGTTTATTTTATTATATTATTTGACGTAAATAACAAAAATAATTGTTTTTTTTAATTCTTAATTATCTTGATTTTATTGACCAATATTTATATTATATCAAGTTTTTTATAATATAGAAATCATTAGTTTATTAATTGTATAAAAATGTAATATTTATAACGTTATAAATATAGTTATTTATTGCAATCAATGTAATTATTAACATAAATTTTATATCTATCTATAAATATAATATAATTAAAATATTTTTTTAAAAATAATTAACAAAATAAAAATTACATAAATATATACAGTATATTATATAAGTAAAATTATAGAAAAAAAACTAAAAATATGCTAGAAATATTATATTATATTTATATTTATATAAAATTATGATAACAAATAAAAAAATATTTAAAATTTATTTTATTAAAAAATAAATATTTTATATTAATTAATTGTTTTATACTAAACATATTAAATATTTAAGTTGTAATGCATACTTACAGTGCATGCAAACAGTAAATGTTATTTTTATTGTTTTAAAAAATTAAATTATATTTCTCACGAGTTATTATTATTATTTTAAATTAGTATTAAATTCAAATTGATTATTACAATCAAACTGTTTGTCACACAAAAAAAAGTAATCAATCAATTCATATAACCAGAGAAACACATCCAACGATAATGTCATCGGAAATGGATAACAACGACAACGACAACGACAACACCGCTAATGTTGTATACAAGACACGAGTGGTGTTCAGAGTGATGGACATGAAAAACATATTGTCTGTTAATAATGGTTTTACTATTCATAGCAAAAAACTAAACATTGGATCAGATGAATGGTTTTGTAGTATTAGTTTTACTAATAAAATGGTAAAACTAAATCTTCAAGTGATTCCAAGTTTTGAACATCAATTGTCATTTGAAGCTGAATACGTAATGTATATCATTGACGACAATAACCAATTGTTTTTCAAAAAACAAATTAATTATGACTTTGATTGGCGCTATCATTACAATAAGTCTGATATTTGTTCAGTAAAAGAGTTGTCGGATAATAAGGACCGACTATTGGCTAATAATATCCTAACCGTTGGTTTCGATATAACAGTTTACAGGGAAATCAATTGCCGAGAAAATTCTGTCCCAAAACCCAATCGTTTCGGAAGAAAATCGGAAGACATTACCAAAGATTGTCGATTAGTTGTCGGCAAAGAAGATCAGAAAGAGTTTTTCGTCTCAAAACTGTTTCTCAGTTCAAAGTCGGATGTCTTCGATAGGATGTTTACCACAGATTTTATTGAAAAGAAAAACAACGAAGTGATCATCGATGACATTGATAGCGATGTCTTCGAGCAGTTCCTACAGTATCTCTACACTGGAAACTGTGATAAATTGTATGAAATGTTGGATGAATTGCTATACGTTGCCGACAAATATATGGTATCTTCGCTGAAGACTATTTGTTTGAATTTGATTTTTTTGAAAATCAATGGTAAAAATGCTTTCCAAACAATACGACAATTGAAAGACTTTGGTGCCGATAGTGAACTCATGATTATGGCCAACAAATGGATCGGAGAGAACATCCCTTCAGTGGTTAATCAAGAAATTCTCAAACACTATACCATTGATTCAGATGATTTGTGGCTAATTTTACATTATTTAGGAAATCAATTGAGTCCAAGACAATCACATTTACTTTATTATACATACAGTTATAATAATTAAGTTAGATTTTCTTTGTATCGATATTTTCATTTAGTATTATATAAAAAAAACAAGTATTTTATTTGTTTTTTACTATTCAATTATTAGAAAATTTGTATGTATTTTAACAAAAATATTTTTTAGTTATCTATTATATTATTGTATTTCAGTATTACTGTCAAAATTAACATTCAATGATTTACATTAAACATTTCTATTTAAATTTGTATTTCACTTTTGTATTTAATTACATTATGAAAATTAATTAAATAATAAACTTTTATTTTTACCCATAAAATAAAAACAAACAAAACATTTTATTTATGATTTAATATGAGGTGTAGGATGTGTTGTCTGTAAGGGTATCTGTCCGCTGATCATACGATTGCTATCACCGACAAGTCGTAGATAGAAATCAGCAGATACTCGGACACCGTCGGCATCCAGTGTCAGAAAGTACTGGTCACTGGGTATGTCCTCTATGGTTTCGGCCGCTTTGGCAATGGCCGTACCCTCATCGTACTCGTCAAACATGGCTAGATAGGCACTGGGTATGGCCAGTTGCCTAAGATTGACAATCAATAAAAAAAAAAAAAAAAAAAAAAAGTCAAACAATTGGATCAATGATAACATGATTTCAGTGTTTAATCAAGAAATTCTCAAAACACTATACCATTGATTCAGAAAATATATCACAAATTTTCACTCAATTAGGAAATCAATTGATTTTTAAATCTTATACTTATGTTTTTATAGTCATATAGTTATTTGATTTAAAAAATTAAATATTAAAATTTTGTCCAAAAAAAGGTTGTTTTATATATTAATAATTAATATTTCAAAACTATTTAATTGCTACATATTTTATTTATTTAAAAAAATTAATTGTTTACTAAATTAACTCATAATTTAGTGTTTTTTTAATTAACAAAAAAAACAAGTTATAATAATTAGTTTAATAATTAATTAAATACAATTATACATTGACTGATAAATTAGTTGTTGTAAAACTGTTGTATTATTATATTTCTCACGAGTTATTATTATTATTATTTTAAATTAGTATTCAATTCAAACTGATTATTACAATCAAACTGTTTGTCACACAAAAAAAATCAATCAAATCATATAACCAGAGAAACACATCCATCGATAATGTCATCGGCAATGGATAACAACGACAACTCAAACACCGCTAAAATTGTATACAAGACACGAGTGGTGTTCAAAGTGATGGACATTACAGAACATTTGGACACCGATGAATCAAACAGGAAATGCTTGTCTATTGACAGCAAAATGTTTACCATTGGATCAGATAACTGGTTCTGTCATATTCGTATCAATAACGAAGAGATGCTGTCATATCTAGAATTGTCAACAATTAATAAAACTTTATTATTACCAAATGAAGTACAAATTACGGTATCAATCATTGACAACAACAATCAATTGTTTGCGACAAAAGAAAATAGATATCTATTTCACATGAATTTCCGAAATAGTATACCATTAGTTGTCACAATAATACAATTAATATTAAAAAACATAAAGTTGTACGACAATAGGAACCGGCTATTTGATGGCAACGTACTTACCGTTGGTTTTGATATAACAGTGATTCACAAGAAATACAATGTCCACGAAATGTTTGACACAAATCGATATCGTTTCAGACAATTGTTTGTTGTCAAAGAGTTGACCGATTGTCGACTGATTGTCGGCAAAGAAGATCAGAAGTCAGAGTTTTTTGCTTCAAAATTACTTCTCAGTTCACAATCAGAGATTTTCGAGAAGATATTTACCACCGATTTTATTGAAAAGAAAAACAACGAAGTGATCATCGATGACATCCATAGCAATGTCTTCGAGCAGTTCCTGCAATATGTCTACACTGGAAACTGTGACAAAATGTATGAAATGATTGATGAATTGCTATACGTTGCCGACAAATATATGGTATCTTCGCTGAAGACTATTTGTTTGAATTTGATTTTTTTTTGAAAATCAATGGTAAAAATGCTTTCCAAACAATACGACAATTGAAAGACTTTGGTGCCGATAGTGAACTCATGATTATGGCCAACAAATGGATCGGAGATAACACCACTTCAGTGTTTAAACAAGTAATTCTCAAACACTATACCATTGATTCAGATGATTTGTGGCTAATTTTACATTATTTAGGAAATCAATTGAGTCCAAGACAATCATATTTACTATATTATACATATAGTTATAATAATTAAATTAGATTTAATTGTATCGATACTTTCATTTATTATTATTATATAAAACTAGTATTTTATTTGTTTTTTACTATACAGTTATTACAGAATTTCTATAAATTATAACAAAAAAAATTTTGTTATTTAATTATTGTATTATTATTTCAGTTTACTGTCAAAATTAACATTCAATGATTTACATTAAGCATTTGTAATTGAAAATTTGTATTTCACTTTTGCATTATATTTAATTATAGACTGAAAAATATTATGAAAAATATTTAAATAATAAGCTATTATTTTTACCCCCAAAATAAAAACAAACAAAACATTTTATTTATGATTTAATATGAGGTGTTGGATGTGTTGTCTGTAAGGGTATCTGTCCGCTGATCATACGATTGCCATCACCGACAAGTCGTAGATAAAAATCGCCAGACACTCGGACACCGTCGGCATCCAGTGTCAGAAAGTACTGGTCACTGGGTATGTCCTCTATGGTTTCGGCCGCTTTGGCAATGGCCGTACCCTCATCGTACTCGTCAAACATGGCTACATAGGCACTGGGTATGGCCAGTTGTCTAAGATTGACAAACTGTTGCCACATAAAATCACCATGCAATCGGGGCTGGGCGTTACGGGTTGTGTTGTGCCAATTGCTCCAGGCAAAACCGGGATACAGTACCGGCTGATAATCTATAATAAATCAGACCAATATTCAATGTATAATATAAATGTACTAAAAATTATTACTACTGATTATAAAATTTATAGTATAGTATATTAGTATATATTATAACAGTTAGTCTAACTTTGAAATATAATGCATTACAATACATGAAATTATTTGAAAACTGTACTTGATAATTTATACATACAAATTAAGCCTTAATTATACAATATATATACTGAAATATGATGATTATTATTACAATATTATTATCTATACTAGAAATAGTATCTAAGTTGTCTCTATATTAACACTATCAATAACAGTTTTATTAAATGTTTTTTATGTTTTTTAAGTTATATTACTATAAATGTATTATTATATTGGATGTAATACACATTAATGTATTTTACTATATAGATAACATAAATTAAGTTAATTTACTGTAAATATAATACAATATAATAATAATACATTTACATTAATATAACTTAACAAACAACTAAATATATAAATAATATCAATATTATTATTATTATTATATAATAAACATACCAATGTTATGTTGTACGAGAAACTCGTGGTCAGCCTTGAGCACCGGCTGATATAACTGAGCCCCTTTGACACTTGACATTGATCCGACTGCCCATGGTTGTAGCATGTTCAACCGTAAGTATACCTCCCGAAAGTTGCTAATATCGCGCTAATTACGTGGCACACCACCAATCACATAATAGCCCTCAAGTTTGAGTGCATCGATAAGCCTGATCAGACCGGCCGTATCTTTCGGTCGATTAGTAAATCCCAGTCCCCACATACATACAACAGGCCGACCGTTTTGGTGGGCATAGGCACTGGAGTTGAATACACCCAACGGTTTCAGATTTACGGTCAAATCATCGGGTATTTCCGATTCAAACTTATCCCAACCCGATATGTCCCACATTATATAGAACTTGCGGTCATAATGTTCGGCACTGGCCATCACTTTACCGGCCATACCGTTAAGCCGTTGTCTAAACATTTAAAAAAAAATATTTTTATTTTTTGTTTAACTAAAAATCAAATGTATTTTTTCTAAAAATATCTATAAATATATTTTCAGTTACAAATAGTAATAAATTTAATTATATGTGTATTTTAATTATTATGCATCTATTTTTTGATATTGTTTATTAGGCCCACACCTCCTGAAAAGAGGGCAGGCCCTGTGCAAAAATTTTTAAACTAATGCTCATTTAAATCATCTACTCTACACGGTAATCTTTAGTAAAAAAATCATCTAAACTTTAATTTATATAAAAATATAAAGTAATAATAAAAAGTATCTGCTTTATTATAATATAAAAAATTGTTTAATTTAATTAATTATATTTAAATTAATAACAACATTAATGAAACAAATTTAAACTCAATTTTTTATATATTTAAATTAAATTATTAAAATTATATATTTATATATAAAAAATAAAATATTTATTATTATTTTATTATCCTTTATATACTATTAAAAATAAAATTTTAAGTGTTTTTTTTGTTTGTTTGTTGAATCAATAACGATAAGATGAAAATAATATTTAATATTATTAATTTTGTTGTTATTATTGTCTGGTTTAAGGTCAGGGCTAAACATATATAATAAATAGATAAATACTATAGTAATATAATTAGAAAAAATATATATCTAATGTAACAGTATTTCAATAAATAGTTAATTAAAAAAATAAAATAAATAAATAAATATAGTAAGAGTTTTTTTTGTTTTGTTAAATGATTTTATAGATAATATATATACATATAAATAATATATATTATACAGTAAATTAAATAATGTCATAAAAATATAAAGTGCAGTTTATTTTTCTTAATAGAAAATAAATATAAATTCAAAACAACTATTTGCTGCTATATTTAATTACAAAAATGTGAACTAAATTATTAGACATTACAATAATTATGTTATTATAAAAAAAATCACACATAAAACAATTTAATGAGTCATTAATATATAATATTTCACAAAAAATATAAAATTACATCTAAATAGTGTGAATTAATTTATTTAGTGAAATATATATACTGTATATTAGTTTTTAAAAAAATTATTAAAAGGTAATAACAAATACATGTATAATTTATTCAACAAAAAAACAATATAAACTAATTAGAAAAAAATTATTTATTATTATTAACTGATTGACACGAAATTTTTTTTTAAAAAATTAAATATCATATTAAATATTTTTAGCACACCATTGTTGTACAATCGACTGTACCGAGGATGGCAACTATGAGCACCCGGATGACAAACACTCCTATATTATGTGCTACAATAACAGGGCAGTCCTACAGCGTTGTCATCTATCCAGGGATAACGTATCGCTGACAGTGTTCAACACTGATCGTCGCCAATGTATCGAACCGTTCAAATGTCCGCAAAGTTCTGGCCAATACAGACACTATTTCAGTGACGCCTATTACTACCGGTGCCATAATTGGCTACCAGTTTTGCATCACTGTCCCGCTGATCATATCTACGACGGTGTCGACCGATGTGTACCCTATTTCCAGTGTCCAGAACTCGGAGGCAACTATCTGTTTCCTGGTAAACCTGACCAATATTTTGAATGCTGCTACGGACGGGCCACTCGGCGCCAGTGTCCATCGGGTGAGCTGTTTGACGGTAAACAATGTGAACCCGGATACAAGTGTCCGCATCCGATGGGACGCTATCCACATCCCGTCTATAAGAACCAGTACTACGAATGCAAGTACTGGGAATCCAAATTACATACCTGTTCAGAGGGTACGGTATTCGATGGTAAGTATGCCTGCATTGTTGGCACACATCAGCGAACAGGCAGCTCATCGGGACGTTCAGCCAGCTATACTGCTAGCCAACGACGCCACTATACTACTAGCCAACGACGCCACTATACTACTAACCAACGGCGCCACAATACAGTGGTCAGGACTGTACGAACTGAGCGGGTGCCACAATCACCAGCAGCTGCATCGGCATCATCATCGCATACTGAATTTCAATGTCCGCGATCGTGGGGCAACTATCCGTGTCCGTATGACTCGACCCAGTACTACCAGTGCCAGTATAATCGACCGAATTTGCGTAGTTGTCCGCGACGACAAGTATTCGACGGCTCCCGATGTTCGGATACGTTTGTTTGTCCGCGACTGGACGGCTGGTTTAGGCATCCGACCCGAGAGAACCAATACTACCAGTGCGTCAATGGGCAGCCGTGTCGGCATGATTGTCCACCGGGAGAAGTTTTTGATGGTCATCGCGGTTGTCGCCGACCTTACATACCACCGACAATCGAGTTTCGGTGTCCAAAAAGCGAGGGACTGTTTCCGAGTACGACCAGTAATACCCAATTCTATCAGTGTATCAATATGGTTGCAACACTGCATACCTGTCCTCATAATACTTATTTCAATGGCCACTCGTGTGTCTGCTATCCAAGCAAAGAAAGGCCATACTGTGGGGAAAATCATCCACCCAGGACACCGCCGCCGGATGTGCCGACCAAAGGTCGCGGTTGGGATCGACGGGTATTTGAACAAAACGGTATGCGAATTGTTGACCAATGGGATTCAGTTAGTGAACAATGGCGCCGAACATACGAACCGTTGACCGGCGGTAGTAGTAGTAGTAGTAGTAGTAGTGGATTCAGCTATACTAACGGTGGATTGGCTGCTTTGCCGGGATTGTCGCATTCTAGTGGTTTAGCCGGCCCTCCAGGATATGCCCGACCCATAATGACAGTGCCGGCACAGCGCGAAAAAGGAGAGTCCGGTCTCGACATCAACGACGTCAACACTGGCGATAATAGTCGTTCGTCATCGTCGGCCGAGTCTGAAGAGGACAGTCGTGTCGTCGGTGGTGATGATGATGATGATGATGACGATGAAGACGATGTCGACAAAAAAGACGATGACTATAATGATGACGAGGACAGTCGTGATGGTGGTAGCGATGGCGATGGCAATGATATAAATCCAGTATAAATTTATGGATAATATAAAATTTGTTTTTAAAAAAAACAATTTAATTATAATTGATTGCTAATTAATATTCAATATTATTATTAATTATTAGATTTTATTATTAATATTATATAGAATTAGTTTAAAGTACAAGAATATACTGATAGATATATATATATATAAATAATCTGTTATTTTTAATGACAAAAAATTAAAATTTACTAAAATTGACTACTTTTTAAAAAAATTAATATAATAAATAACTATAAATTATAATTTAAAATTATTATACTGTATTATTAGTTTGTTTGTTTGAATGAATTTAATAATTTTTTAGATTGTAATTGTCTATTATTATTATAATTGACAAAAATTGATTTATTTAAAGTTTTTAATCTTATATTTAGATAAAACATAATAAATAAAAATAGATGACATTCCAGGTATAGATAGCATAAGTGTGTTTTATAAATATGATAAAAATTACTATATTATGCAAACCATATATTAGAAATTTTATAAAACCCACATTATATATCATAAATAATAATATAGTTGTAAATACTAATGACATATATTGATTAATTAATTGATTTGTTTCAAACAAAAACTTTGATATATTTATAAACTTTATCAGTGTTTGAGTGTCAATGAGTCCAACACTACTGGGTGTCCGCAAACCAGACAGCATATCAAATACTGATAAAAATTTTGGCGAAATACCCGCGAAATAGTTATAGTAATAAATACTATAAATGATTAAACATAACACATATAATAGTATTGTTATAATTCTAATGATTTCAACATTTTTACCAAAATAATAGTCACTATCGCATAGAAATATATGCCATTCGCTAGAAATGTCTAGTTTTCTAGCAATCAATAGCCATATATTTCTTATAATAAAATATAATAATATCATTGGATTCAGGAGTGGATGTGAAGTCCAGTGTCGTCGTCGTCCCGGAGTTGGTATTAGCGATGGTTTCAAACACAAACCAATTGTATATAACTGACTGCACGCGCAAACAACACGTAGTTTTGGTGGCAATACTTGATTTAAATTTATAAATAATTTACTCATATTTTTTTAATTATTATTATATTTGTTGTTTATATAATAATAGTTTAAAATATTATAGACTAATATACAATATATAATAATTTAAACTATTTATTATAAAATTCTACTAAAGTATATTATTTTAATTTATTTTAAATAAACTATTTCAGTAATAAACTATTCAACAACAAAAAAATATTTAATTATGAAATTTAACATTTACTTATAATAATAATAATAAATTATTTTTCTACATAAACAATAATAATTTCATATTATTAATATTATTTTATGCTTATTTTTAATGTTTATTTTTAATGTTTATTTTATTATATTATTTGACGTAAATAACAAAAATAATTGTTTTTTTTAATTCTTAATTATCTTGATTTTATTGACCAATATTTATATTATATCAAGTTTTTTATAATATAGAAATCATTAGTTTATTAATTGTATAAAAATGTAATATTTATAACGTTATAAATATAGTTATTTATTGCAATCAATGTAATTATTAACATAAATTTTATATCTATCTATAAATATAATATAATTAAAATATTTTTTTAAAAATAATTAACAAAATA